CCTGTCCTCAAGCAACGCATTGGCTTTCTGGAGGTACTCGGCCTTGTCAAGTATAACTGTCGATCGCCCTTTGTCTGCCGGTAGGATCACGATACTCTTGTCCGCCTTCAGCGTCCTGTGGGCATCCTGCTGCGCTCTCGGGATGACCAATCGCGGTTTGTGTGTCATAACCAAGGACGTGACTTGTTGCCGAATGAGGTGCTGTGTCTCAGCTGGCTCTTGGGAGTGTTTTAGAACCGACTCAATCGTGGCCACGAGGTTCACCGGGTCAGCGTCCGAGATGTTGAAGCCGGCAGCATGCCTCAGCACCTGAATCTGCTCTGGCTTAAATTATTTGGAGGATAGATTGTGGACCAGTACATCGTTGTCGTCTTGTGTAGCAGAGCTTAATTTCTGGAATTTGGCCATCAATTCCCTATCGCGTTTGGATCTTAGTTCTCTGGCCCGTTGACCGATCACTTGGCTGAGGAGTGCTGTCTCGTTCTCGCCAACGAGCTCCGAGCACCTTGAAGATGACTGGCTCAAAACTCCTCGGTATTTGTGCAGTCGAAAATGACAGTCCTGGAGGAGTACTCGAGTCATTCGCCTGCCGTGTTGCATAACCCATTGTCTCGCAAGTCTTGTGTTCACCGGTGGCTTGTAGGACAAGCTCTTCGGTTGCACTCGGCTGTCGAGGCATCTGTGAAGGAATTCGATTTGTGCGTACGTTGAAGACACGCGAAGGGCGAAGGTCTCCCATCGTCGTGCTGACTCTAGCGCTTCGCGCCCGTAGATATTGCTGATTGCAGCAAAAATGCGCGTTCCCGGATATAACTGAGAAGGTAAGGCGATCGCAGGAACCATAGGTATATTTGCCTGACGTTTCGAAAGCAAACAAGCTTCCATCATCGGAGGTGGTTTGCGTACTGCACGTCACAGTATTTATGGGTTTTTGTTCTTCGTGCTGGCGTGTCACTGACTGCCAGCGCGCTGCATCTCAAGGCTTGGCGATTTGTTGTCATGGCGGCAACGGTTCCTCGTCATTCTTTGTCAGGTGTGAGAAGGGGAGCGGCATCAGGGCGACCGCGGCCATTGCTCTTGTTTGCATTGTCCGTTGTCTGCCCTCCGCGCATCTCGCCTTCCTGCCCTGTTCGCACACGCACGTACCCGTGTGGACGGTGGTTACCATGCTAGTTTTGACGTCGGGCTGGGGGTTCCTGTCACTGTCGTGGGTTCTCGCCTCGCTGCCCCGTTCACACCTGTCCGTAACTGTGTTGATGGTGGTTGTCATGCCGGTGTTGACGTCGGGCAGGGGGGTCCTGTCGCTGTCTGGCGCTCTCCCCAGGGGTTGGCATCTGTCTGTGTTCGGACCCAGAAGGCGGTCTCCTAGGTTTGTGTTCGTCGCCGGTTGTCCCCTGGTTTCGTCGATTCCCGATTTCTGTCTATGCCCGTCTGTGTTCCCGCTGGGTTTGGGTTCGACTGCTGCCGTCTCTGGCCTGACGCCGCGTCGGTAGCCCTGCTTATTGAATTTCGCCCGTAGGGCTTGGTAGGCGGCCGGCAAAGTTACGCAGCGGTTGATCGAGGTAGTTGTGGTGTGCCAGGCTTAGAGCGTCTCCCTGACCGTTTGATCGCTCCCTTGGCCCAAGACTTCAGCGTCTTGGAAGGCGAAGGCATGGTCAAAAGCTGCGCAATGTTCCGCCACCAGCGAGAGCTGATCCATTCTTCGCACCGCTCTTGCGTGCTCCTCCATGCGGGTTTGCAATCTCTTCCCAGTTTCCCCAACGAAATTGGCTTCGCAGGAACTACACGGAATCCGATAGACGACATTGGCGGTTTCGCCTCGTGGCAGGGGCGTTTTTGGTCTCATGACCAGACGTCTAATTGTCGCTTCGGATTTATGGGCGATGCCGATACCCAATGGTTGCAAAATACGAGCAACTGCCTCGGACTTACTTTGAGGCCTTGGATCTTCTGAAGCTCATAACCCCCGATGACTCCAGATTTATGACTCTCAACGACCCCCGAATAGCCCATGCATATGGCCTCCCGAAGGTTCACAATGAAGGTGCACCACTGCGGATCATATTGCCGCTTATTGGATCGCCCACCTACAACCTCGCTTAACGGTTATGCAGGCACCTGAAGCACCTAACCAATGGATCACAATACAGCATCAAAAACTCTCAGGCATTCCTCCAGAAGATCCAAGGCCTCAACGTAAGTCCTGATGAGTGTATTCTATCGTTTGTTGTGGTTGCCCTGTTTTCCTCAATACCACATGACCTAGCGATTGAGAGCGTAACCCGACACCTGCAAGATAATCCAACCAACATTCCACTAGAACACATTTCGGAACTTCTTAGACTCTGTCTCAAGAACTACTGCCAATTCGATGGAAAGTTTTATCCACAGGTTAGGGGTACACCAATGGGCTCGCCCATATCAGGTCTGCTAGCTGAACTCGTACTACAACAACTAGAAGAGGAAGTTATGCGAACCTTTAAGCCAAAAATGTGGCTCCGATACGTAGATGATACGTTTGTTATCATGACGACCTACGAAATTGAGCAACTGCATCTGAGTCTGAATAGCGTCTTCCCAGCTATCCAGTTTTCTCGCGAAGAGGCAACAAGAGGCATTTTCCCATTTCTAGACGTTAGTATCCAAACGCTCAGTGATGGCGGTCTTGCGACAAGCGTCTACCGAAAAGACTCCAGTGCTGACGTCATTCTTAATTATGAAAGCAACCATCCTGCGGCTCATAAAAGGAGCTGTGTCCGAACCCTTTTCCAACGGGCCTATCGTTACTGCAGCAGCGATGACCTACTTAAGAAAGAACTCACTTTCTTGTATCGGTTATTCCGGCTCAACGGGTACCCGATCAGCTTTGTGAAAAACTGTCTCAGACATCGGAGACAACCACAAAGCACTGGTTCTAATGAGGGACCAGAGGAAATTCTTCTCACTCCCCTACATACAGGGCATTTCCGAAGCGATCGCCTGACAACTAAATCGGTTTGGCATCTCCATTGCCCACAAGCCGGCATCCTCCCTACGCGCAACGCTATCCCACGTAAAAGACCCCGTACCCAAAGAGCAGCAAAGCAATGTCATCTACCGCAGTCCGTGTGCTAACTGCTCGTGCGACTATGTTGGTCATACAGGCCGACGACTCGGGACGCGTTTAAACGAACATAAACTAGCCATCCGCCGACGTGACCCTTTGTCACTAGTGTTCGCGCACGCCCTTGAATGCGGCCATCGCTTCAATTGGGAAGAAACTGAAGTTATTGCCACGGCAAACACCAAACAGGCCCGAGAATTCCTCGAAGCCTGGCACTCTAAAACGACCAGCATCAATCGCCATGTCGATCTGGACGCTCATTACGAAGGTCTACGTGCCCAGCTCACTGACTTGCGCCTGCGACCTAACAACAGCCGCTAACCCATACTGGGACATGTATAATCGAACAATTTCGCCACCCTCTACCCCAGACACAGTGAACCGCAACTGCAATCCCTAACACCTCTGCGTTGGATCACTGACCTCTGCCCGCATGTCGGATCGACGAACTGTCCGTAATCCCATTTAATCGTCACCCCCTCCCCTACCATCCAACACAGGGAGCGCCAACAGTTCGCCCTCCCCTCCCCCACCACAGATCCTAGCCTAATTATGCGTCCACCCGCATTTCATGCATTAGTTGTTTGCCTGTCAGTGGCTGCCCTGTCATGCCAACCAATTTAGTTTGATCATTTCACTTTCTCCTTCGTTTATTTCGTCTGACGACGGGTTGGTGTCACCAGCTCGAAAATTCACGAGTACAACTCAATTCTTTCCGACGAGCCTTCTATATTCTTCATGTCCCGGAGATTTAACTCCAAGTTCTGCACTGATTAATTTCTGAAATTATTCATCTGATATATATATATAGAGTTATATAAAGAGTTATTTGGAAAAGTATACGGAGCATTCATTCGCTCGCATCTGGAATATGGAATCCAAGCGTGGCGCCCGTGGCTAAAAAAGACACTAAGTTGCTAGAAAGAGCTCAGAGGAGAGCAACAAAAATTGCAAAAGGCCTCAGGACTTTACCTTACAACTGCCGACTTAGGGAACTTAAACATTTTCCTCTTGAGTACAGGCAGGTTCGAGGAGATCTCATACAGGCCTATCGGATATTGAGGAACCGGGAATGTGCCCTAAACCCCGACGAT